ATTTAATTAGGTTCATCTAGTTAAATAGGTCAGACTTAGTTTTTTAATGCCTAATCCATGAACTTAATAAGTCAGCCTATTTACATGCATACAGACATGTTATATAATATATCATACACGCACCAGCTTCACAGTTTAATTTTTAATCAATATAATTTTTATCCGTAGTCGTGCTTTCAGTCAAATTGAACCTATATATTGATTTTAATGTTATTATTTTATTATTGTATTGTAATTGTTATGTCATTTCAATTATTATATATTGTAATTGATAAATCAAGTTGTATATTTATATCAATAGTCATAAAATATATTTGAGACATTTAAAATTAAAATACGAGCTTATTTAAAAAATAGATTTTTCAAGTCAGACAAAGTTTTAGATAGGCTTAAGCTCAAGCTATAAAAAAAAAATTTATGAGTTTTAGACTAAACTCAAATTTATTTAGTTAAAATCTAATTTAGTCAAGCTTATTTTTACCGCTTATCAACAAGTCATGTTGATTATAGTAATCCTTTTAAAAATATCAAGCCAACGTGGGCCTTGTGTGACTTGCTTGGAATCGTGAGCAATAAGGATAGTGTTGACTTGCAATCACATCTATCAAGAATGACGAAGCTTTCAAGTAAACTATTACTACTATTGAATCCCCTCTCTATTTTCCAGTGTCTCTTCAATTTTTTTGATAAACCCTCTCTCAATATCTCCCTATATCTAATTATATGTATATTTAATCATTCAACTAATTCAATAATATAAAATTGATAATTAAAATATAAAAATAAATATATTATTCATCAACATCACTTAAATATTTCTATTTGAAAATAAAATCATAATACTTTTTTAAAAGTCACTTAAAAAAAAAGTCAAGTGAATAAATGTGACTAGCCACTAATAGATGTGTTGAGGGAGGACATGGAGAAAATCTAAATCAAGCTTACTTCCTTCATTAAAAAATGCAAGGCATTCTTAATTAAATCTCATATTTTAATAAAATAGTTACTTATTTTTAAATTAACTTTATTTTTTTATATTTATCGTTATTAAACACCCTATAATAAATATAAAATATTCATCAATTGGAGCATTTTTAGAAAAAAAAATATAATAATTACACCTCAAAAAACTAAAAATACCTTACATTTTTTAACATTCAATTTCTCAAAGAATGTCTTATATTTTTAAATGGAGGGAGCATATCATAAAGAATAAATTGTAATTAAATTTAACTGTTAATTTTTTTTATAAATAAGATTCTTAGTAGAGCCAAGAATAAAGGTGCGGCCTCAAGGACCGAGTTTGGAGGTCTTGTTTAAATAAGAGTTTGGGCTTTAAAAATAATTTTTTTAAAGTAACTGGGCTTAAGAACTTGGCCTGAAGGATCGGGCTTAGATATTCTATTTAAATAAGAGTTCAAACTTTAAAAATAAATTTTTTTTAAAGTAATTGGATTTGAGAGCCTGGCCTTGATAAGTCTTATAAAAAAGGCCTGGGTCCGAGCAGCCTTTTAAACCTTGTTATATTATTATTAAGTTTTTTTTAATGAAATACGCGTTTGAAGTCAATAAGTTGCTCACCTGAAGTTCTAATCTTACATACATTATATTATTATTATTTTTAATTTATTTTAAAATTAATTTAATATAATTTAATAAATATTATTGTACAGTATAGAATTTTTGCTATTTTTTAATATAATCATCATGTTGGTGTATTTATAAAAAATAAACTATTTTTTAATCAAAATTTAAATTTTATTACTAGATTTATAAATATATGTTGTTTAACTTTTAAAACATTTTGAGGATTTTAATTTTTTAATTTTAAAATATTTTAATTAATTTATAGTGTTTACATTTATTTTAAATTTTTTTTAAAACAAGGCTTATGGGTCTAGTTTTAGGCCATTTAAATAAGGAGCAGGTCTCAAAAAAAATTTAAAAATAAAAAACCGGACTTAATAGCTGAAGCCTTTATAACCCTGATTAATAAGGGTCAAGTCCACCCACTTTTTAACTCTACTACCAAGTGCACCCAGACTCTTCCTTTCTGATGCATCCACAAAAGCTCTAGAAATTAAACCACGCCCGGAAATTTGAAGCTGTTATCGTCCTTCATTCGTTGTTCAAATAATATCTTGAAATATGCACGCATAGACCCAAAAAAAAAAAAAAACATGCCCAGCAAGTTAATTGAAGCCCGAAGAGAACGTTGTGTCTCATTTGTATACATACGCAGAATACAAAGCAAAGTGAAATTTAAAATTAAATTAAATGGCATATTTTTTCCTTCTGTCCTTTCATTTTCTCTCTCCTGTTGGCTGACTTTCTCCTTGCTTGCTCTCTTTCACCTCTGTTTTAATTGATACGGATGGATTAACTTCATTCATCAGCGAGTCCACCTGAACATAAATCACATGGAATATTTAATTTATACCGCTTGCAAGGTTACTTGTTCCACGAATTTAAATAGTTATACTGTGACTTGGTTATGCATTTAGTTTTCGGTTTTCAAATTTGTACGCTCTGAAAATGATGATACATGAATTCAAAATGCAGAAAAGGCATCGTTGCGTGCAATGACAAGCTTGCACGGTGTGAAGGCAATGCGAGGGTTGAATTTCATGGAAAGAGACAAGAATAAAGCAAAACCCCACTGTGAATGGAGAAGTTGGCTGAGAATTATTATGACTCTCTCTTGTTTCCATTATAGGGAATTTCCATTTATCTCACCAAAATAAGAAGAGTTGGTTAAATCACTTTTGTGTAAGAACATAATAAGCTTCAAATTTCATCCCCGTTAAATAAAAATTTTTAAATTTATATTATATTATTTTTCATGATTAATGAGTTTAAACAGGAGTAATATTGAAAAAATAAAATTAATATTTCACCAAAATATCTTATAAAATGCATCATTTAACAAAGATAGGAGAGAGTATTGACTACAATTACATATCCAGAATTCAAAATTAATATCACTTGTTAGGCTAGCATAACTTCCTGTTAGCTGAACCATATACTCATTGCCTAGTGGAATTATATAGTTGTTCCTTTAGTGCCATTCAATAGATATAAAGAAAGTAATCTTTTCATTAAAAAATGTAAGATATTTTTAACTGAATCTTACTCTCCAATAAAATAGTTACTTATCTTTCAACTAACCCTATCTTTTTATATTCACCCCTATTACCCTACAATAGATATAAAGCCATTACTAATAGGAGTATTTTTTTAAAAAAAATGCAATAATTACACTTCAAAAGACTAAAAATGCTTTATATTTTTTAACATCCAACTTTTTAAAAAATACCTTACATTTTCTAATGAAAGAGTATATGTTTGTGTTTTATTTATAGGGCACATTAATAATTATAGTGTCTATTTTTACTCTTTCCCCCTACAAAATGTTGGAAATATTATTAAATGTAAGGTTGTTTTATTTTTGAAGTACATATGTTTAATAACAGTGAAATTAAAAACTCATTAAATTTTTAAATAAAATTTAATATTTTTATTGATTTTAATAAAATATATTAAGAATAATTTATAAATAAAAAATATAGTATCAAATTCTCCTCCCTGTGTGGAAGGTATCAAAATATTTGAAAGTTTTCTCCTTGGTTAAAGATCAGAGCATTAGACACAGCACATGAGACAATGATTCCCCGGGAAACACGAACCCTGTTCACCAATGCCTGGCGTATCATGGTGACACCTGGATGTGGTGCCCCTGTAACTACAGACTTAGTAGACCCCATATAACGAGGCATTCGAGCGTTTTTTACCCGTCGGTGGTGAAATTCAAGCGCATCATTAGAACGCATGGTGGATCAAATATCCAGCACCGAATAATTACGCTCTTTCTTTAGATCTCATGCATGAAGGTACTGATACTAGCGTTTGTTTTGTTTGTAGTACTCTGTAAAAACTCGGATCGGTTCCTTTTTTTTCTTCACAAAATTACATTGAAATTCTATATAAAGAAATTAATTAATATGAAATTCACTGACAACTGACAAGATCATTTATAGTACATTTATTGTGAATGACTTTATATTAATTGTTAATGAATTTTATAATAATTAATTTTTTTATGTAAAATCTTTATATAAATTTTCTTTTTTTTTTGTTTAAAAAGAACACTTGAGTATCTGAATCCAGTCACCAATACGAGTTCTGTTATTAGGGTTTGGTCTGGGCCGGGCAGGATAGGCCTTTATGATCCACTTTTACTAAGGCCCTCTTAATGGTGACTATCTCTAAAGTACTATAACTCTGGGGGGAAAACAAAAGAAATAAAAAACCCCTCAACAACAAAATTTGGTCCAGTTTATAAAAATGCTCCTCACTAGCACATACCACATAGGAATGTCAGTTTTGCAGCTCCTTTTTGGATCGAGAAACTTGTCATTTTTAATCACTTTTCATGACCCAACTCACTTAAAGAATTATGTATGTTTTTGATTTTTTTTTCTTAATCTAGAAGTATTTTTGTAATAAGGAAGACCTTGAACTACAAGTTTCTGTTGATAAAAGGGGGTCCCTAGTCCCTGTACCTGGGCTTGCTACAACAATTTCTTCCCTTAAGTTTTCTATTAATTATTTCAACCCCTGATGCCCGGCTAGTGGCTTCTTTGGCTCGTTCCTACCGAGTAGAGTGTATCAAACCAATTCAAAACTTTTAGTGAATAATTAATACGACTTTCATTCCTTTTAAATCTATTACTAATATTGCCCTGAAAGTTCGGCTAATGATTAAGATGATATATATTCAAATTTATAAGACAGGAAAGGCCCGCAAAGATTTCGACCACAAATGACACATGGCGTGATTCTGTCTGTATTGTCTTGCCACCGAACTCCAACATCTGCGCGCCCCGTCCTCCTTGTTTATTTACTTCAGCTTCAAGTTGAACCAAATCAAAACCAATCGTTTGCGTCGACGTGCGTGGCAGCGGAGGATTTTAGTTTCTCACCATTCCTTTGATTCATCGTTGCATCTAATTAATTACAATTCACTTCTCACCAATGTTTAGAATCTGCAATACAACCAAGGCTAGATATGGTTCTAATCAATAAGGTGGCTTGTGGAGCACACTTGTATGCGCGCGCCAATCCCAGAACTGATTCTATAAAGAAAAAGAAAAGCAGAAACCAAAAGTGACACTGGGGTAGCATCATATGCTAAGCACTTGATATCACAACAATTCAGAGTTGTTAAAAGAAAAAATTAAAACAACAAATTGGACGCAAAGAAGAGCAAAAATTCCGACTCGTGACTTTCAATTCCCGCGCTTCATCGACGTGATCTAGTAGATTTTGCTCGGCTCAGTACAAAAGTATCAGAGTCTGGAAGGGCTGTCAGCGTTCGTTTGTCTGGGTGGTTCTGACTTCATAATCTAGCAACCTTCATTGGTTTTGAGCGCCCCAGATGCATAATCCTGAAACTCGAAGGGCGGAAGAATTTCAACCAATCATGTGGCCTGGTGCACTTGGATTGTGATCTTCTCTTCTTTAGGAGGTTGACACGGACAGGCCATGGCAATGAACTTCGGGACCTCATCGCCCGGCATCAGCACCGGCGAACTCTCTATTTCCATTTTCTTCGTCACCTGCCGCATCAAACCCAAATGAATGAATAAGCAAAAATCTCACAGATCCATGCATCATCAAAATCAATGGCTTGGTGATGAGCATTAATTACCACGAAGGGCAGCTCAGGTTTCTGGGGAGGATGATAAGAAGCTGAATCTGGTCCGAGCAGAGCGTTGAGGAAGCCAGAACATGGGAGCAGGGCTCGGAACTTGTCCCACTGTAAGCAGCAACAGAGAACTCCACAAAGTAACAATAACAAGGCGAAGAGAAGGCCCAGACTGAGAGGAAACCCCACGGATACTCTACTCGCCGCGTCCTCCACCTCCATGGGTGTCTCTCTCCCTCACACACGGAAGGAAGTCAGGAAGCTTGGCTTTAAATGGACGTGGTGAGTTTGACGGTGGTGTATTTACTGGTGACTGGATGGTGAAATATTTGTTGTCAATAATTTGACGTTGATGTGCTTTAGAATTGGTGTGGGTCAAGTTAAATTCTCCCTTTGGTGCGGGAGCCCCTAGGTTTATTGCGTTTTGCATTTTGCATCAATTCTAACCAGTGAGCCCTGCCGTCATCTCAACGCGCGTTGGCGTTGCTTCTCTTGTAAGATTCTGGAATGTGCTGGACCAATCAATGCTGTGCCACGCTTATATTATTGCCAGAAACGAGAAAGAGTGAGAGATGGTATTTTCCTTCACTCGGGGTCTGATTATTTATTGCTACGGACGTTTCTCGTCATGATTTGGAAGCAACTGTTCAATGATTGGTGTGTGGCTACACGTGAAATAAATTCTTGCGAAAGAAACATAAGGTGGGAACTGGGAAGGAGGTCTCGGTGTGCAAGCATGCGTGCCACGGCAGAGCCTGTGGTTCGTAACGATTCTATAATCTATCTATATTGAATAGAATGCGACATAGGCTCCGCGATACAATCAAATAAATGTTTCTGTCTGATCTTATCAACGATGAGTTAATAGAATTAGGTTGAAGTCAGTATCACGAACACTGGAACTCCTATGGGGAATGCATTATTGTTTCAGACCTGACGTTATTTATCATCAATAATCAAATTCCCGGATCCAAGAACCCTACACTTTTTTAGTTTTTTTTTTTCCTATTCAACTAGAGATTTTTTAACTTGTAGTGCCTTCCATTGATGCAATGGAAAGCTTTACTCCATCACTTTCTATATGAAAGTTTAGGCAAATTGAGTTTTTTTTTTTTTTATACAAAGATTTGGGTGAATTAAATTTTGAAAGCTCAAAAGAATTATGGTGAGCTCTTGACTTAAAGAGTACTTACATCTATTAAAAAGTTGATGCTAGGATTTGGTCCCATAATCTTGAAAATTAGGAGCAAAATCATTATTAACTGAATGTATCTTTATTACTCTTTTAGTTTCAAATAATACGTGGCATGAATTGAACTTGGAAGACAGGACACAAAATAACAATCCCCCATCTGGGCCTTGGGTAGCGTCTGCCTTGGCCCATGGGCAACAGCCGGTACAACTGGTCGTCTTGTAAAGGATCGACCTCATGAAACAGTGTTGCCTCCCAGCCACTGGAGGGGTAAGAAAAAACAGAACAATTATATCCAAAAAAAAAAAAAAACAGAACAAAATATTCAAGCCACTGTGGCTTGAAGCATCCATGGAAAGCTGTGAGATTAATCATTGAATATCATTAGTAACATCTCCAAATCAAACTCAAATCAGAATAATACCATCCCGGTTCTACTGCTCTGCTGCCTGCATAATGGAGATGTCAGGGCAGCGCATCTTTATGGATCACTCGTGCGAAAGCCCTGGGCTTCTTCCCTGTGCCGGGAGCTTTAAGTGACACGATCTTTAACATTCGATCTTTTCTAAAAAGTAGCGAGGCCAATTCTTTGGTCGTATCTCAAAGATTCTCGCCAAAGTGAGGGCGGGGTGACTCACGATTTCAACTGAGTGCTGTCTTTAGAAGCAAATTCCAACAAAAGCATGGTCGGATAAGATCATGATTTAACAAGCTCAAGAAAAGGGGCAAGAATATCGCTGTCCTCCAAATCTCTGTATTCTTTTCTCATTTCCATTATTATTCTACTGGCCACCAACTGCCAGCTAGGCGGCTAGAACGTGGGAGTTTCACGTTTCTTTGTTACAGAATGTGAAAATGGCATTACACCCGAAACAAAAAGGCATCGTTCTCACTTCAGTTGATATTAGTTGTCCGTTCACACACTGGGACTATGGCTGTTAGTGCCGACCAATGCTGACTCCAATCGTCCCGCGAGACTATTCGAAGCCTTTTCACTGTTTATTTAGTTGAGAAATTAACTGATAAAATTGGCTTTGTATAATAGTGCAGTTCTGTATAAAATTTATGTGGATACGCTGATATACTTATGCGTTTGTCGATTTCATTTTAAGCAGCATGGTTTAATTTAGGATCAAGGATTATTTTTATTTCTAAACTATATATACAAAATATTTGAAATGCCCTTAAATTCAACCGTAAGTAAATTTTATCTTTTAACTTTAAAAATTTCTCTCGTTATTATCCTGATATTAAAAGCATTTAATATCTATTAATTATAAATAAGTATAACTATTTTTAATATTTTTTATCAGATTAAGGGTTATTTTTATCTTTTAACTTAAATATTTATAATAATAAATATTAAAAAATATAATGTGAAGTCCACCAATTATAAAAAAAATGGCAAAGTGATAAGGAATTTTTTTTTTAATTGAGAGACAACTGATTCATAGTTAAATTTAGAATTATTAATAATTTTCTACATACAGTTTAAAAACAAAAATAACCTTAATTCTTTAATTTAATTAGTTCATCAACATGTGTGATTTTAGAAAGGGAGGTCCATTTAATCATTTCTACCTATGTACTTCTGATCGTAAAGAGTAAAAATGCAGTTGAAAAGGTAAAATTGCAATTAAAAAAAAAGTTAAAAGTCCAGCTTTTAAAATGGTTACCTTTACCTTCGATTCGATGAGATGGAGTTGGGAAAGGGGCTGAGAAAGCTAGTTAAAAAGAAGGTAGTCGAGAGTACAAACAAAATAATTGACCAAATGAAGTTGTAGATATTGGCATGTTAGACTTGCTCTGTCACATCATTCAGCAGTGGGGGAAAAACGTCGTTATACGTAAAAGTTACACACAAATATAAAACAAACAGAGGTGGAAGGAACAGAGACAAAAAAAGATCGAACTTTACCCTCTCGTTGTGTCTAACATTTTTGACCTTCTTTATGCATCGTCTTACTGAACATGATACAGTTGAACAACCGAACTCATTGACGAGTTTTTTTTTGATGAACATGAGCAGATTTAATCTCATCTTGATAAGTGAAAATGTGTGGTAGAGGAATTTAAACTTTCCGAGACATCCTTGAAAGTCTTGTCCTTGGAATTTGTTGAAGTTTGCCAGAGAATGGAATGCGCAAGATCCATAACATTAATTACACTAGTTTCATCAAAATGTCCTTCGTGAGGCATCTGAGAGAATTAATAGAGACGTGTCCCCTTGAAGGAAATGATAAACTCCTGCTGAAGAAACCGCTTTATTTCCTTGGATCAAGGGCTAAAAAATTGGAACTTTAACTTTTGCTATAAAGAAACAGTCTTCATATATTGAAGCGCTTTTCCTCTCTTCCCTTCTTGCAAGCTACAAACATCTTCCCCCATACCCTGCGCTCCTAAATAGCGCTTGCTTTATATCTTCACAACTCAGTACTGTACTCTGCTCCGATTCCTGTTCCTTGTCAAATATGATATTAACATCAGTACATAACAGGGACAAAATATATATATATATATATAGATACAGAAACTTCACGGGAATGTACCTCAGAGCAAGAAGCGTGCACAGTGAAATCATTGAAACAACTTATCACACATTGTTCAATCTCAAGACCAAATGCTTCCAGAGTGTTCATTGTAGATTGCAACAGTCCTGGCTTTCCTGCACAGCAAATTTCAATCTGTGTGTCCTCATTCCTCCTCTTCACTTCAAACTGCACACAAGAAAGAGAAAATGCATGTGCTAAACTTGAAGCAATTACAATTGCTCAAAGTATGTTGGTGGGCAATACTAGAAGGGTAAGTTGATATGTACCTTGGGTGTATTTCTCACCAAGATTTCATTTTGCTTTGCATCCTCCAAAATGCCCCCCATGTTTGAATCCACCTCTAATTCTTCTTGCAATTTGTTGATCTTCTCCAGGAGTTCTTTCATGTAGTCTATAGTGTCTCCGAGGATAGATGTTCTGTCCATCTGTAATGGGCATTCAACAACCAAATCAGCAAAGTCTAACATCAAAGAAAACCAAATTGCTAGCTTGTTACTCTCCATGGACTGGAGTGTTAATGCATACCTTACTTATCTTGGGGACAATTGATCTCAGCATTGAAAGGCGATCATTTAACCTCTTCCTTCTCCTCCTCTCAGCCATTAGATTCTTGGAGGGTTGGCCCTGAAGCTTCTTTGCTCGATTCTTTCTTTCCAAAGACGCATCACCCATGTTGAAAATTGGCATTTCAGGGGACTGACTTGGCTCTATTTTGCATGGGGCTTGCAGGTCCAAACTCTGGAGTTCATCTCCAAGTAAACCCGGATCGTCCAATTCCTCCATCATGGACAATGGGTAATCTTCTTGACCCAGAACAGGAGTGTCAAGAACGTTATATGATGAAGAAGACGAATCAACATTCTGGGGAGCAGAGAATTCATCAAGCAAGGAACTGTAGATTTCATTGAAGGCGTAGTTGTTGGGGTAACTCTGAGGAATTTCTTGACAGGAAGAGTTTGGAAGAAAAGGTAGAGAGTTTTGATCAAAACCATCAAAACCCCAGCCATTAGAGAAGAGTTGGTTTGATTCGGATGGGATGGCGTCCCATGTTTCCCTTCTCACGGCCAGTAATTCTTCCAAAAAATGATCATGTTCACAGAGTTCCATCTCTCTGTGTGTGTGTGTGTGTGTGTAAAGCGAATGCTAAAGCTTAAGGAAACACCTTGAGATTGTGTAGTACTACCAAGTTAATTGGAGAATTTATAGGGAGCACCGGTGAAGCTTCTGGTGAATTGATTATTTATATGAATTTGCAAAGTATTAATTATGTTGTATCCTGTAGTACCTATAGCCTAAGACTGAAATGGAATCTGCTTTTCATCTCTCCCTCTCTCCAGATATCTTTTTCACCGAAATCTCTGCAATCAAAAGGGAACTAAATATTTAATTGGCTTACTAAGAAGAAAATTTTGACCCTCACCCTCGTCTGCTACCGAAGAAAATGGAGTTACTCATCAAAAACCCTGCCAGGTTCTTTGCATGTTCAGGCTTCTGCAAAATAATTTCTTAAGGAACAGGAGAGAAAATTTGAGCTGGGTCCCACCCCTGAATGCCTCCAAAATTTGGCTTAGCTCACAAATTCAAATGAGTTGGTGGTCTCTTTTGTTGTTTCCACCACTATCTCTCCATTCCAAAATACTTTATACAATTTGTACATGCTTGTCATCATATTAAGGAAAAAACTAGTCTATCTATCTTCCATTTATTTTCTAGTCCACAGTGTAATCAAAGTCTCCAATTGCAACTTCTCACTTCACCTGGCAAGTTGCAGGGGTAGAAGACACTGTAAATACGAAGACCAGCATACTGATACTGCCAAATTACATACTTTTTCCTCATCACAATATGAATCATTATTAATTAATTCATGTTTTTATAAAAAAATTAGTTAAAAATTTTATTTTTTAAAATTTTACGCACCCTTTCAGTTGCACCATTGAATAATGAAATAAATATAATAATTGATTTATTCAAAATATCTACATTAATCAACTTACATGAAATATAACAAATTAAAGGTACAATTGAAAAAAATATATCATTACTTCCTCGGTGTCCTATATTTTGGATGAAGTGGACAAGTAGATAATTTTAGGCTTATGTTTAATTTTCGGTTTTTAATTTTTTATCTTCAATATGGGCCTCCAGGGGGTCTCGATCCCACCCCACTAATTAATGTACCATAAAACTAGCGAGTGATTAGAATCGTTGTTGTTATTATCGCTCCTGTGTTATTTATAAAAGTGGTGTTCTTCAAGTTAGCAGCTTTCCTATGTATACAAGCCTAACACTGGCTAAAATTAATCGGTCATATCTACATATAAACGTAGAGAAAAATGTATATAAAGCACATGAAATTGTGCACACAGCTACCTGTGAATTGGGAATTATTATCATACTATATATGTATGTATATATATATTGGAGACATTATATCTTTCACAGGAAAGTAACGGATGTGGCTAGAGCCTTGAAGAAGTGGATATGGATTACTGTGTATGATATCACTGTCTGGTGTTGAGGGTAGTGAAAAATAGAAATTATGAAATGCAAGTCACGGGAAAAGGAACATGGGGCCAAAGCAGTATCCAGTTTTCTTGAGTTATGATCATCCCGTGCGAAGAATAATCTGGCTGCAGGTCACATGCTATTAACATGTAATTAATTACCGAAGCAATGAATTCCTCTTAACTAACACGTGTGGGTAGAGTCATTGAACTAATTAACCTGGTTCAGTATATCCACAAAATTTTTATACTAGCTTAATGTAATTTTACGTGTACGTGATTACATTTTATTAATTGTAATATACTCTTAATTACTATTAGCTGAACTTGATCACTTATTTTCCCTTTTTTCAAAAAAAAAAAAAGGTTAGGCGGTGACACGAATGAACTTAATTAAAGGAACTGAAACGTTTTTCCTTCTAAACTTATCGATGGAGGTCAAATTAGTAACTACGTGAACAGACGTTGGTGCCTATTTTCACAAGATTACTGTGAATAAATCTGCTGCTTCAAAACGTGGAATTTGAGTAGTGGATGTTTTAAAGAAACATGTTAACAAATTATTTTATATTAAGAAAAAAAAACAGTAGGATGATTTTTTTGGATCGTTATTACCAAAACTCGAAAAATGTAAGCCTTGTTCCATTGTTAGCCAAGCCTTCAACTTTGAATTTTCCTCTAATCTCAAGACTTGTCTACCTTGGTGTGAAATTTCCCTACTAACCATGACTCCATGAGGCTGTTTTACGCACTAATCAAAATGATTAAACACGGAGTCAATCATTAGCATCACCAGAGTTTTCAAAAAGCTCTGGAATGATGGTGTCTGCCCTTTCGTAAACCTTCTGATGCGAGAATGACTTGCTTGGAAAGTTCTTTTCGCGTAAAGTAATTATAATTTACTCATGTCAATGTGTCATTTTAAAAATTTATTTTCTAAATGACTGATCTGTGCTTATATTATAACCAAAATAACGAGGATACTTATACGTAGAATTTTGGGTTATCCCAAACGACGGAAAAAATGAATAGCAACGTAAATGAAGAAGAGTAATAATAATGTCACGAAAATAACAAGAATTGTATGTAATCCAGGAGCTAGAGCTAGCCGCACAAGGTATTTTCTGGAATCACAAATCACTGCCAACGAATAATTAGAACGCGGAGTCAATGCACTACGCATTATCATATTATTTTTTGTAATTAGGACTACTTTTTTTATCATATAAATATAGGCAGATTAGTAAAACTGTAAATCTAAAAAATATTATATGTACACACTTTTATTTTTTTTTTCGTTCAATTTTTATTCAATTGTGTAAAATTACATGCGCAAGTGTAGGATTTGGCAAGATGCTATTTTCAAACCAAATGGTGGATTTTTGTGCATAAATAAACACAGTGGACACGAACTGAACTATCTCGTGCCATTTACGTGTATATCTAATCAGTTCCTTAATTTGTCGTCGTGCTCGTATAATGAAAAATTTATATATCAGATATGATGAGTGTATGTCCCTGCGAACAAGATTTTTAGCTTTGGCCATTTTTATAACGCACACGTCCAGTGTAAATCCTGTCACGCAACACACACACACATAAATCCGCACATCAAATACCCGAACGAACAAAATCTATACATGTGTGTGGTGTTTTAAATAATTAACATAAAATGTGTGTGTAGGGTTTTTAAACAACATAAAATAGGATTTAAATCCTCTGAACAAGATATATGCATGGGCTGCGCTGTAAGGAGTTGGGGGGGGGGACTAATAGAAACCGTTTAAACAGTAGCAAGTAAATAGAGCGTTATGAGTTAATGATGATGTTTCTACAGTTGTTCCCAACAAATGTTCAGACCTAACCGCAGAGTAGTCCTTTAATATTGGTGAAGATCAGAACACTATTGAAGTAGAGATGAGGAAATCTGCAGCGTCAAGTTTAATAGCTTTCATGAATGAGAAAGAAAGCGATGACGACAATGATGAATAGGTAAAGAAAATAGGAGGTAGAAGACAAGGTAAATGAGCAGAAGCGACCACGAGGAGGCACACAGGGTCAAATCTTATATATATGTGCGTTGGCTGAAAATTAGTGGCAGTAATTATATAAATTGGTGGAGAGCGGTATCATAAAACCGCGGCAGTTTCCTCCTATCCCCCCGACACCAACCAGTGGTATTGTCAAAACCAGATTTTACAGATTCAGTCACTCTCACATAACATATACCAGCTTGCTCAGCCCACAATATCTCGTTTTGGAATCCTGCTCATTCCACCAAAACCAACAACTCTCATCCTTCTCCTTCTCTTGTCTGCTAGCGCGTCTTGTTTAGTTTGTTACTCCCTCCTCGTCTCCACAGACATGAAATATACATATAGATTCCTGAACGACTTTTATTGGTTGCTGTTCAAGGGTAGCTATATAGGCAGGTCGTCGTTTTGCAAAATTTGTAGATAGGTTCGGCCAGTGTACGTGTGTCTGCCTCTACATACATTACCCCCTGCAAATGCAATAAAATGAAACACGTGAGGGACTGAGACTGGCCTCATCACGGCCAAAAAGAAATCATTTCTTTTTTCTCTGCCCTGGAGGTAATGGCGTGTGAGGTATTAATGCGTGTTGCGAGTACTGTAGTCTGTAGGTAATGGGGAGAGAGAGAGAAAGAGAGAGAGAGAGAGAGATCACGAGTGAGATTATTAGAAAAGGGTGGAGAAAGGAGCAACGTAACCGAACCCCACCACCATGCACAAAGCTTGGACCTTGAGCTTGGATTGGATCCTGAAAAGTCGTGCAGTGAAGTGTGATTGTGATCCATTTCCGTGCTGTGTGCTGCAATGCAACGTAATCTTACAATAAATTTGAATTCAAAAACAATATTTATTTAAATTATTAAAATTTAAATCAATAATTATAAATTTATATTTTGCCTAAAATTAATAAATAAGTAAATTTATTTAAATTATTGATTTAAATTTTAATGAATAAGATAGTATAAATATTTAATGTTTATATTAAATATAATTATTGAATTCAAATCCTCCTAACTCCTCTGCTTTCTGCTTAGTCATATTTATTCATGGATCGCTGTGTTTCGTGTCAAGATACCGCCAAAGCCTACAGCAACCACACTCCCTCCTTTCCAACCACTGCATGTACCTACGTGCTGCGACCCTGTTATTGTCGGTTACAAACTTACACTAACACACAGCATCACCACGTCATATATTATTACTATTATTATTACTAATTATTATTAATTATTTTTTCATTCATTTAATTTTGCTGACGAGAGTTCCAAGTTTTGGAAGATTATGGATTTAGGAATAGACTATCGGCGTGGGAATATGGATAAGTTACTATATAGTCTATCATTAGGCCCTTTAATTTTATTGAATCTTTACTTACTCGGTGCCGTTTATTTGGAGGAGATTTGAAACCAGCGCTTTTATTGGGATTGATTGCGTTGAAATTTGTCCGCGTACAAAATCAATTAATTATACAAAATTCAAGAAAAATAAAAGGAAAAAAACACAATCATTAATATTATCACAAGTACAACACATGGAAAGTTAATATCACGTATGCACATGTTCGATATATGTTGAAAAAAATAAAAAATAGAAAATGCAAATAAAAATTAAGAGAGAGTTATATATAGATTTCACATAAAAAATTAATTACTACAATGTCCATTAA